TAACCGGGTGCCTCGAAGTAGGATATCACCGACTATAGACAGTTCCAACCGAAACGGGTAATACGGGCTTGACAAATTCGCTTTCCATGAGTCTTGATTAAGACACGTCATTGCATCCACCATCTCCTCATCTAAGACACTCATTTTGCTGACTTCAGATATGGAGATGGATTTAGGTATGGATGTTGATAGTACGCGAAAAATATGCTCCTCTCCAGTCCAGTCGTAAGGTTCTGCATCAGTATGTTGGCACAGTCTTGACAGCGAGTCAGCAATATTTTCTTTTCCCGTTTTATAAATAACATGAAAACGGTAAGATTGTAGTCTCAGCAACCACCTTTCAATTCTAGCCGGGGGTCGCGATGTTGGTTTAAAGATCGTCTCTAACGGCTTGTGATCAGTTATTAAGTCAAATTTTAAACCAGCCAAATAAAAATAAAATTTTTCCACACCCCACACTAACGCCAGGCTTTCCTTTTCGGTTTGCGAATATCTCTTTTCTACCGGTGAAAGACTCTTGCTGGCAAATGATATTATTCGTGGGCTATTAGATTTGTCAAACTGTACTAAAACAGCACCAAGAGCCACCGGACTAGCATCCGCAATTAAACAGGTTTTGTCTTTAGGGTTAAAGTATGAGAGTTTTGGTACTGCCGCAATTTTTTCTTTTAATATTTTAAATGCTTCATCCTGCTCTTTACCCCAAGCAAATGGTTCATGACTCTTTAGTAATTTCCTTAATGGCTCAGTACTGTCTGCCAAGTCAACCACAAATTTAGCCACGTATGTAGCTAGACCAAGGAAACTGCGTATTTCTTCTTTATTTTTGGGAGCTCTGAACTCAGTAATAACCTTAACTTTTTCTGGGTCAACTTCGATCCCTTGATCGGACAAAATGTGGCCTAAAAATTTTAATTTCTGAGCTCTTAGTGTACATTTCCTTTCGTTCAGCAGGACATTATTATTTTCCAAAATTGTCCTTACCATTTTTAGAGCTGCGTCATGTTCTTCCATATTGCTCCCAAAGACTATTATGTCGTCAATGTAGTTTAAGGCATTTTGACAAGGAGATAAGAGTTTTTCCATCAACCTTTGGAATATTTCAGGTGCCGAGTTCACCCCAAACATTAAGCGTTTGTATCGAAATAAGCCACGGTGCGTTATAAATGTTGTAATTCCTCTGCTGGATTCGGCCAATTCCAATTGATAATAGGCGTTTTTTAGGTCGAGCCTTGAAAAATGTTTGGCACCTCTTAGTTTAGTCATAAAATTATCAAAAGTTGGCAATGGGTAGTTTTCTCTCTGAATAGCTTTATTTGCACGCCGCATATCTATGCATAAACGAATATCACCATCATCTTTAAATGCAATAACCAAAGGTGATATCCAGGCGCTTGGGCCAGATACGGGTTCAATAATGTCCATGCTTAATGCTTCTTCGAGTTTTTTATCAATTTTTTCTTCCAACGCTGTCGGTACACGCCTAATGGGTTGTTGGATGGGAGTAATGGATTCGTCAATCGAAAGTTTGACTGAAACGTCACGCCATTTGGGAAACGGTTCAACTTTTTCAACTCTATGTACGCTTAGTCCCAGTCTTAAGACGTTGAGTTTTATAGCTGTGTCACGTCCTAATAAAGATTGTTTACTATTTTCAATAACGTAAAAAGTAGCAATCAGTTCAGAATCGTTCCGTACCGAAATCGGTGCTTCGAAAATTTGTAATACCTTGAGAAGACGGTCTGAGGCATAAGCTCTAAATTGGTTTACTGATTCTGTGCGAGCGTTAAATATGACTGCTTTTCCCTCGCGCAATTGTTGCCAATCCGAATGACTGATTAGGTTATACTTTGAGCCCGAATCAATAATCATAGCGACCGTGTGACCACTTATCTTACACCGAATCTCTTCCTCGCCGGATTGCTCAGTTGCTACTCTAAACAGGTTGGTAGACTTTGAATCGCCATACTCATTTTGAGTTTCATTACTTATTGATTGTATCCTAGTATTTCCCTGACGTCGCCGTTTTCGATCCGGTTCTTCCATACCGAAGTTTGATTTTCGTACCCTCGTACGGCATTTCTTATAAAAATGCCCAAGTCTATCGCATTTCCTGCACCTCATGTTCCTAGCGGGGCATTCCGCGCTGTTTTCCCGATGCCCTCTTCTACCACATCTTCCGCACTCCATACCCGTGTCGTGCTGTATAATTTTGTTAATGCTGCTTGCGGTAGTTGGTGCGGCCATAGACTGCGTTTGTTTGTTTACTTGCTCATCTATGCAACATGTTTTTACGACCTCCTCCAAAGTTTGCTCATTTTCAAGCAATTTCTTCTTTAAGTCTAATGGGGCCCAGACATCAATAATTTTGTCGATTAAACAGATTTCTTCGATTTGTCTCTTAGTCTCCCCAAATGAACACTTAGCGATTTGTTGGCGTAATCTAAGTAAAAACTCCGTAAAACCTTCTCCTTCCACCGGTGTCATCGATCGAAACAGGTGCCTTTCGAACGCGGAATTTCGCAGCGGTGAAAAATACTCATTTAGTTTGCTTACCAAAGGAGTAAACACGTCATTTTTAGCCTTGTCGTCGTATGGTATCAAGGCGCCGGGAATGCTATACACAACCGCCTGAAGCTGAGGTCCACCCAAGTGAAGGAGTTTATTCCTCTTTTTATATACATTTGTGATCTCCTCCGTGTCCACATATATAGTAAATGCGCGCAGCCACATTTCCCACTCCGTACGCCATAGTGCCTTGTCCATCGCCTGGCATAGAAAAGGTTTCAGCTCCGTCATAATTATTCCTGAAATTAAAACGTAAATCCCAGAATAATCCTCCAACATCGGGCTTTTCTGTATTCTCATTCTTTGCTCTTATTCCATTAGGAACAGATAACTTAAGGCTTTTACTTCTTTCCTTGATCTCATTCCATTTGGAATAGGCGCTTTTTTTTTAAAAGCTCATTCCATTTGGAATTTCTTGTTCTCATTCCATTTGGAATAGACTCTTTTATTTTTTTTGGATCTCATTCCATTTGGAATAGACTCTCTCCTCTCTTTTTTTTCATTTCTTTAATCCTTCCATTTGGCAAGGATTTTTCCACTCTGGCAATGCTGTGTGCCTGTGTCTTCTTCTTCTTCTTTTTTTTTTCTACTTACATTTCTTTTGCACACTTCACGTTTGCTGATTTAATCGATTCGATTATCTTTTTCTTGCAAAAGGGTTAGCACAAACTTAATCTCCGGTTTTATCCTCGTCGCCAGTGTAAAGACCACGATCTCCCACTGAATGAAAACACTTTATATCAACTGATAATTATATTCTTTATTGACCGTCCGCTCTGGTCGGTGACTCTGGAACTAATAATAAAGGCGTTGCCAACGGATTGGCCAAGTACCAGCCAAACCTACTGTGGAGATAGGGAGAGAACATTACTCTTCTCCTTAGCGTCGCTCTCTGCTGATACAGGTCGCCACATTACACAATATACAATCATAATAATAACAATGACAGATTTTTCTCTTCCGCATTAGCTGCTTCTTCCCCTTGAATCCAACACGTGCGGAAATGTTTCGGAGCCGCATTAACAATGGCAACAACAGCTACACCAACAAAGGCCAGTTGAATTATGAATTTTGTTGTGAGCAGAAGTTGCACTTTAGTGCTTTTTGGTGCATAAAGCGCTGCGGCTCGACAAATTAGTGTCATAATAAATAGATGCTTGTATTCATCTGCAATTGCGTTGTCAGTGGAAAATGCAGGGAACGCTTCTAGTTAGAACGCTCAGCATGGTCATTTCTACAAGTTTACTATATTTGTCGGGCCCAAAAATATGGAATTCACCAACAAATGTCTTTAGATCACTAGTTTACAAAAGTAACAATAAAAATTTGACACTAGGGCCTGTACTCATCCGTACTTTTATTTGCCGACTTATAAATTTTGTTCTGTTTGCGCAACAAAAAAAATGGAAAATTTTTTATGGCTGCTTTATCCAAACATTCACATTATGCTTGTGTAAATATTTTGTAAGCGTTGGCACACACATATGAATGTAGCACCCTTGCCAACATTTGTAATCGAAGAATGTGTTCCTTTGCTCCTATATTCACTGTGTAAATTGTGAATTAAATTTTTCAATATCATATTATTGATAATTAGCTGTTCAGTACCACCTTTAAATATTTTACTGTATGTACTCAGTATTTTTTGATTTGCCGAAGGATTACTCTCCTTGAAAAAGTCGCCATTTTCTCGCTGTTCGGTCTTTGAAATGTGGTCTTAAAGTGTGGACGAGGAAAAAAAATAGATTGATCCTTTGATTAAATTTATCGTCCAATCATAATGAGTGTACTTTGCTTAACGGTCGAGAACACAGCACTTGTTTTCTAATTCTGTCCAATATACATTACCTTACGGAAAAATTTATGTCATTAAAAAACCACTGTAAAAAATAATAAAGTAATAAAGAACTTTAGAAAACTACCGACATTTACCGAGATTTCGTCAGATTATAAACATTGTTTAACTTAGCGAATCAGCAGCAAAAACAAATTGCTACACATTTATCATTGATTTAACTTAAAGCAATCCAGTCTGTGGTTTGGCCACGTGTCGGCTTATGATGTACATTAACAAGTATGCGGCAATGGAATCAGGCACATTCAAACTGCGAAAAAATGCGGCAATGGAATCTCCATTGCATTTTGTGTTCTGAGCAGCAATAAGCATGCATTGCATTTTACGAAGTGAGTACCGGGAATTTTTTTGTCGAGACACGTTGTTATAACATGTTTATTTGTTCTGTTTTGTTGTGCTGTGCTGCCTTTCTCAGGTAACCCCCAACCCTGCGACCTGTAATATGCTTGCAAGGCACTTGTGTATTCAGAAACATTGCCATTTTGGCAAATAAAATTTAAGGGTGTCTTGTTTTTGTAGTATGTATAATATTTATATTTATTTATTTAGATTTTTTGTTTAAGCTTACATTATAGCATACATAACTTTTAGTTTGCGTTTTCGTAAAGTTTATTTTACTAAATTACATTTGTTCAGTTGCCAAAACATTGACGCATCCCATGATTGCATTTGCATTTAATTTTCGATTGCGTTCGCATTCGCCGCCTACGTATTTATTCAACATTTGTTTGCGAATCGAGCGATTTTTCAGCGAACAACGAGCGAAGTAAAAAATGCATTTTCATATACCATACCGCATTTGGGTTGTATGCGGCAAATTAAATGCGAGCCAGAAAAGTTGAAAATGAATTTGCGCAAACTGCATTCGAGCATTTAAGATATTTGATTTCGTTTTTGCGCGCACAGAGAATAATTGCAGTTGCAGCTGCCACTGGCAAATGCAATCGTTTGCTGAGCATCAATCTCGTATCGGACCAATCCAGACGGGGGACGCGGGATTAAGGCGCAGCAAGCAGCGTTCATTAGGGATAAAGTTAGCATTACGAGTACGGTATAAATTCACTAAGTCACCTTCCAAGGTTTAACAAGAAAACGACCCACGGTTGCGTTGCTGTGCTGTCTGTGCTGTGAGCCGGTGCCTCACGGCAGCAGGCGCGGGTTGAACCGCCCCATGAACAGGATCATGCCCGTGGGGTTGTGGCGCACGAAATACAGGAAGGGCTTGTCGAAGCGCAGCCGAGGAGCGTCTGGCACGCGAGCCTGCCGCGGACGGAGTGGCAGCGGCAGCTCGAGGTACTTGGGGTCCAGCAGGTCGTCGTAGAATCCCCGCCCAAGGGCAGACTCCTGCACCAGCGAGCCGAAGTCCACGACGGCCTCCGACGAGTCGAAGGCGTCGTCCTCGGTGGCGTCCACGTCCTTGTTGCGCTTGCGCAGCGGGGGTGCAGGGTACATTTCCACGTGGTGATGCTCGGATATCTTCTCCTCGCCGCAGGTGCTGAACGTGTTGATCTGGATCATGTCGGACAGGAAGATGTCGCGGTTCCCGGCGCCCGTCAGACCCCGCAGGTCGGCGAAGTCCGACTTGAAGAGGCCCCGCAGCCCCATCTTCTGCAGGCCCAGCGAGGCGTTTACGAAGGAGCGGTGCGAGAAGCGCGGCAGTTGCACCTCCATGCCAGGCCGGTCCATCAGCGAGGTGAGCAGCCGGCTCCAGGCGCGCGACTCTCCGAAGGCAGTCTCCACCAGGCTCCGCTCCAGGCGCTCCAGGTTGTCCATCGGCGAAATGGAGCTCTGGTGGCCGGGCATCACGTAGACCGTGCTCACCGTGTCCTGGACTCGGCCGAAGGCCACTACGGTGGCGTCCAGCTTCGGCTCATAGCCCGCCGTGAATCCAGAGCGGTAGAGCACGGCCGGAATGGGCACGAGCCGTCGCTGGCGCACGGTGGGGTGCACTTGGAAGAACATCTCCCCATCGCGCTCCGCGGTGGAGCCGTGCGAGCAGTCCGTCTGGAAGAGGTTGGCCGATATGGTGGCCAGCGGCCCGTTCACCCACACGCTGTTGGTGCGCAGGTACTCCAGAACCTTGCCCATCGTGTGGCGCTTCACCAGGAGGTTGGTGCGGCGGCGCACGATGTCGTTGACCACGTGGAAGTTGACCTCCTCCACGTGTCCGGCGTACAGCTGCTGGGTCTTCTCCTTGAAGAAGGGCAGTATCTTTCCGTTTGCCCGGTCACTGAAGATCTCGCGCACGAAAGCCGCAGTGGCGATGTCGCTGTCCGTGGCCTGTTCCACCGAACTGGTAATGTTCTTGAAGATCAAGTGCGGATTGAAGGTGACCATGTCGTCCAGCTTCAGGATCTCGTTCATCTCCCCGGACGTGCTTCCGCGCGCCCCAAGGAATACCATTGACAGCATGGAAGTGAGGGCGAACGGGGAGAGGACCAGACTTCTGGCGGAGCTGATCTTCTCCGAGGTAATGGCGCGCCAGTAGCTGAAGGCGAGCTCGTTGCAGAGCCGAGCGAAGGACTGCAGGTCCGCGTCCATAGGTGCGGTGGAGGCCTCCAGCCCCTGGGAGGACTCCGGACTGGGTTCTAGTTTCACGGGGGGCCGGGTCGACTGCGTGGAGCTGGCCATTAGATTGGTAAGCAGCGGGGGCCGCTGGGAGGGTCGCTGCTGGCTCAACGCAGATTGATATGGGCTGTGGGTCGGAGTTGGGTCCGCCTTGTTGGCATTATAGGGCAGCACCTTTGGCGGCTGGTAGTCCAGTTGATTGTAGCCACCCAGCAGGGAGGGCTGAACGTAGTAGGAAACAGGCTTCAAGGTGTTCAGTCGCTTTGTGGTCGTTGAGGGAGCACTGGTTGTGCTAGACGTAGTCGTGGTTGGAGTTTCCGTTGTGGGCTTTGTAGTAGTGGTTGCCCTTGTGGTAGTACTGCTAGGCATCTGGGAAAGCACTTGATCCTCCTCGTCTTCCTCATCCGCCTGATCCACTGGTGGGTTTCCGTAGCTGGCCAAAGGCAATGTAACCTTGTAGTTGTCGTCTTCGGGTTCAGTGACGCTCTTATCCTCTTCGACCTTTTCGGCGCTAGGGTTCAACGGTCTCACGACACTCGCGGTAGTTTCACCCAGCTTTACGTATGGATCCTCGTCGTCCGGCTGTATTTTTTGGGCACTGGTCACCGCCCCCACATCCTCGGCCTCTTGTTCCTCCGAAATGGTGGCTGTCAGCTCGTCTGAAACTTCCTCCAATGACTCGTCGTCCAACTGCTGCGTCCTAACCGTGCTCAGTTCTATTTTTTCAGTCACCTGCTCGGAACTCAGAGACATGTCCGAATCGGAAGATGCCAAGGACATATCACCGGGAATTTCCGTGACCGGCACTTCGGACTCCTCCCGCTCTCCGCTGGCTGGTGCCTGGTATTGTGGCAGCAATTGGGCGGCGTTCGTGGCGCTGTCCTTCACATCGGCTATTTGGGAAAACTGCGGCTGCTCTTCTGGGTATTCAAGCTTATCCGTTGTCGAAGTTTGCTCTTCTGCCTGAGAGTCTTGGTAGGCATTGCTCGCCGATGTCGACTCTTCCTCCACGAACTGCGGGGCGGTGGTCTCTGGCTCTTCCGGCGTAGACTTTTCCGTGGTGAGGACGGGCTCGGGCTCGTGCACGGGCTCTGTCACTTTTTCTTGGAAAGCACTCGTCTCCGTCTGCTGCTGCTCGTTGTATCCATTTGTCAACAGCTCGGGCACTTCCTCTTCACTTTCGGGGTGCGTGTAGCTTTCGGGGATGTCGCTGTATCTGGTCGTTGACTCCTCGCTGCCAGAACCCTCCTCACTGGAAGTGGTCTCCTGGTTGGGCTCTTGCGTCAGCTGATACTCTGTGGTGGTGGCGGCCTCAACCGCGTCAGCCTCGGAGGTGCCCACTAAGGGCGTAGCTGTAGACGCCTCTAAGGCGGGGACTGTTTCCTGTTTGCCGGGCTCTTGAGTTGGCTGCACCTCGAGGCGTTCGTTGGTAAAAACTTGCTGCTCCTCATCCTCGTCTTGTTGCTGCTGCGCATAAATCTGGGACAGCGACAAAATGGGAATCCGCTGGGTGCTCGTCTCCACGTGTATGGGATTTGCTGGGAAAGCGTCCGGCTTGAAAGGGGCTGCTGTTGTCGTACTAGGAGTGGGTGGCTTTGTCTCGAGCTGCGGCTCTGGTCTGTACGGTTCTTGGGGCTCCTTAGGCTCCTGAGGCTCCTCCGTTTTTTCTGGCCTTGGTTGGAGAAGGAATGAGCTGTTAAGTTGGGCGAAATTGGTCAGGCGGTGTGAATCGTCTGGCGATTGGGCCTTTGGCGGGAGCTTGCTCTGATCGCCTTGAGTGATCTGCTGTATAACATCGGACATGAGGAATTCTAGCTCGTCCTTGGTCTCGTTTGAGTTTATGGGGATATCCGAGACGAGCGTGTTGGTGCCATCCACTAAGGTGGAGGCAACGGTGGCCGCCTGAGTCTGGAAGTTGGCCATGGAAATCTGGTCCGTGGGCTTAAGCATCTCTAGGTTGAGTTGCTGCACAAGGTCGGCGATCTGGGGGGTTACTTCGGTACTGTCAAAGTCATTAACTGTGCTGCTCTCAGAAACGGGAAGACGAAGTGCCTGCTCTGTGGTGGCAACCGCACCACCCGCCTCCTCCGCAATTTCCAAACTCTGTGGGTTATAGCCGCTTGTGGGAGGAAGTTCGTTCGGTACACTTTCGTTGAGAGGCTCAAACTTAACCTCGTGATCGGGCTCAGCATCGATCTTATCGGTTGTGACTTCCTGTTCTTCCAGCGGCGACATCGGAGTTGTCACTAGGAACAGTGTCTGCCCGGGTAACTCGGTTGTCTCCGGCTCCTCCTGGCTCTGGTCGGTCTTGATCGGCTTCAGTGGTTCCGGCCTCCGCGTAACCGTAAAGTACTGTGGTCTGGCAGTGATGACAACCACGGGCGTTTGCTCCACGTCATCGTCCTCGAGGCTGCTGAGCGTGGTCTCTGCTGGCTGCGGGTGGGCCACAGAGGATTCTGTGGAGTCGGTGACGTCCTCTCCCTCTTCTGAAAGCATCGTGGCCAAAGTGCTTCCGCCGTAGTGAGACGTGAGTGGCTTGTTGCTAGTCAGAATTGTGGTGGGCTTGGAGGAGGTGGTCGGTAAACTGGCCGTAGTAGTGGTCGTTGCTGGCGCAGCGGTGGTGATGGCAACGAAGGCTACCTTTTTCTTGTTGGCCAGCGCTTCCATCTGCAGCTTGCTCTCCGCACTGTCGTAACTCACTGGACTTGCGACGGAGTCGTCTTCCGCCTTGTCAGTGGTCGACAGGTCCTGGGTCAGGGACTGCACTATTTGGTCCATGGAGAGGATTTGAGCGGGTGAGAGCTGGGGAGCTGGTGATGGTGAGCCGAGGTGCAACTGCTGCTGCAGCTGGGTGAGTGACGGCAAAGGAGTCTTTTTCAGAGGCGAGTGAAGCGCCGAAGGATCGGCGAACAAAGAAGTCGTGTTTTGAGAGGAGTCGGCATCGTAGCTGGGCATCGGATAGAATGGTTTGTGGATGGTGCTCGAGGCGGGAATCACATTAACCAGTCCGTAGCTCTCGGCTTGTAGCTCCCCTGACACCTTACCCGATTCAGTGGTGGTGCTGTGCACTGGCTTCGCGTGGATTCGGTTGTGGTGTTGCGTTGTGGGACGGTTGGCGGGCCTGTTATGCAATTTCTGGTGGTGTAGAGCAGGTGGAATCGCTGTGGTTTTTGCAGGAGCAGCGGTTGTTGTAGTGGGATCTGTGGTTGTTGTAGTGGGAGCAGTGGTTGTTGTTATCGGAGCCTCTGTGGTTGTTGTTGTAGGAGCCTCGGTTGTTGGAGTTGTTGAGGGAAGTGTCGTTTGAGGCTCTGGTTCTGGAGTGGTGGTGCCTGGACTGGACTCTGCTGGTGGCTCTGTGATTGGAGCCTCTGGCGGAGTGGTCACTGGTTCCGGTGTGGTTGTTGTTGCTGTTGCTTCTGGCACTGGCGTTGTTGTGCTTGTTGTCGTCGTAGTGCTGGCTGTTGGCTTGGGCTTCTTGTGGGGTCTCTGCGGTCTTGGGTGCTTCTGAGTATCCACAATCTGCGGCTGTGGTGCAGACGCAGCGGAGGCTGATTCACTCACTTCCTGGATCATTGGTTTTGGCTTCGACGTGGGCTTCCGCTTTGGCTTCGATGGTTTTGCGTTGCCACCGGACGGTCCTGTACCTGGGGCTCGTGTGGGCTTGCGTTTCTTCTTTTTCTGAGTGGTCGGGGCCGGTGGTTGGGTGGTTGTGGTCGTGCTTTCTATTGGTGCAGGCTCCTCTTGCGTCACTTGAGTGGGTGACTCCGTTTGGGTTTGGGGGGCCGGTGTGGTTGTTGTCGTTGTCGTTGTGGTAGTTGTCTTCTTCTTGACCTTCTGCTTTCCCCCAGTGGACTGGGATGTAGTTTCGGCCGGAGCCCCACCGTTAGGCTTTTTCACGCGTTGAGGTTGAGTGGGCTTGCGCTGCACACTCGCCGGCTTCTTGGCCAGCTGGTGGCTGAAGGCAATTTCGGTGCTCGAGGGGGCGCTGCTCGAGGAGGTGGGCGTGTGAATGATCTCCTGGTTGTTGTAGAATACGCGTCGCGTGGTGGTCTCCGGCCGCCCTGTGGTGCTCGGCAGCTTTTGGTAGATCGGCTGCATGTGGAGGAGCTCAAACTCGGGCATGTTGGCGGCCACCTGTTGGTATTGCTGCATTCCCGTGTACACGGACTCCATCGGATCCAGTTCCTCCTGCACCACCTGCGGTGTCACTTGGGTGGTGCTGGTAGTGGTTGCGGGCTTGCGTTTTGTGCCCGGCTTGCGCTTCGCGGGCTTGGGTTTCTTCGTGGCACGTGTGGTTGGTGGCGCCGCCCGGGTGGATGTCTCCAGCAGCTCCGACTCCGGAGTCATCACAATCTGGGGCGGGCGTTGCTGTGGGAAAATGTCGCCACCCGTGTTGCCGAAAATGGCGGGCAGAATAAGCGACCAGGAGGAGGAAACGTCGGGCGTATCCAAAAGGGGGAGGAAGCAGCTCCCCGGAGCTGTTCTTGGCCGAGCTGGAGGCCACCTCCTTGTTCAGCACGTCCTGCACGCTGTTCACAATGTCCTGGACATTCTTATCGGGATTGCTTTCAGCCAGCGGGGCGGGGTGGATGATGGACGGTCCCTCGCCGTCGCCATTGGCCACGATGCTCTGAATCTCCTGCATGGTCATCAGCCGCTTGACCAGCTCGCCGTGCTCGTCGAACGTGTAGAACTCGTAGCGGTCTGGGTTAAGCAGCACGATGGGGCTGGCCACTTGCAACGACGGCTGTGGCTTCGGGACCTTGTGGCCGAGTGCGTCCGTGAACTGCGGCTCATTGCCATCGAGAACCACTGAAACCGATGGGGTGGCACTGGAATGAGGAGTATTAGATTAGAAATTATTATTTGAGAGGAAATTTATCAATGGACTTATACAATGGACTTATAAAGTAAAAATTCAAAAATCATATTTTCATCCGTAATCATTATAAGCGCTATTCAAAAAAATCCAAAATAATTATTATTTATACAATTTTATGTATTTTGAGAAAAAAAAAATGTTTTTTAGTTTTATTATGTATATAAAAAAAAACAAGAAAGAAAGCAAACTTCGGCAAGCCGAAGTTCATATACCCTTGCAGCTATTGCAAGAATTAAATACTTTTGAAAACATTAAAATTGCGTTTATGTTGAAAAACATTGAAGCTATGATGACTTGCAGCTCATTATTAGATAGTTATTTTATATATTTTTATTATTTCTTTGGAAGCTATGTGATGTAGTCGTCCGATTTTGATGAAATGTAAACCGTAATTCTGAAATAATTAACCACTACTATATGTTGAAGAGCTAAGAAAAAAATTAAAAAACAGCTAAGTTATAATTTTTTTTTTTCCTTTTTTTTCCGATTGTTCCTATGGGAGCTATATGCTATAGTCGTCCGATTTTGATATAATTTAAACCGTAAATCAAAAATATTTAACCATTACTAAGTGTCGAAGGGTATTATAATTTCAGTCAGAAGTTTGCAACGCAGTGAAGGAGACATCTCCGACCCTATAAAGTATATATATTCTTGATCAGCATCACTAGTAGAGTCGATCTAGCCATGTCCGTCTGTCCGTCCGTCTGTCCGTCCGTCTGTCCGTCTGTCAGTATGTCCGTCCGTTTATATGCAAACTATTCTCTCAGTTTAAAAGCTATCTGCATGAAACTTTTGTCTTTCTATTGCAGGTAGTATATAAGTCGGAACGAGCCGGATCGGACGACTATAGCATATAGCTCCCATAGGAACAATCGGAAAAATAAATGAAAAAAAATTATAACTTTGCTGTTTTTTAATTTTTTGTTTAGTCCTTCGACATTTATTAATGGTTAAATATTTCCGATTTACGGTTTAAATTATATCAAAATCGGACGACTATAGCATATAGCTCCCATAGGAACAATCGGAAAAATAAATGAAAAAAATATAACTTTGCTGTTTTTTAATTTTTTGTTTAGTTCTTCGACACTTAGTAATGGTTAAATATTTTCGATTTACGGTTTAAATTATATCAAAATCGGACGACTATAGCATATAGCTCCCATAGGAACAATCGGAAAAATAAATGAAAACAAGAAAGAAAGCCAACTTCGGCAAGCCGAAGTTCATATACCCTTGCAGCTATCGCAAGAATTAAATATTTTTGAAAACATTAAAATTATGATTTACTTGCGTATATGTTTAAAAACATTGAAGCTATGACGATTTGCAGCTTAATTATTTGATTGTTCTTTTATATATTTTTATTATTTGTATGGGAGCTATATGATATAGTCGTCCGATTTTGATGAAATTTTAACCATAATTCTGAAATATTTAACCATTGCTATATGTCGAAGAACTAAACAAAAAATTAAAAAACAGCAAAGTTATAATTTTTTTTCAATTATTTTTCCGATTGTTCCTATGGGAGCTATATGCTATAGTCGTCCGATTTTGATGAAATTTTAAGCATAATTCTGAAATATTTAACCATTGCTTTATGTCGAAAAACAAAACAAAAAATTAAAAAACAGCAAAGTTATAATTTTTTTTCAATTATTTTTCCGATTGTTCCTATGGGAGCTATATGCTATAGTCGTCCGATTTTGATTAAATTTAAACCATAATTCTGAAATATTTAACCATTGCTATATGTCGAAGAACTAAACAAAAAATTAAAAAACAGCAAAGTTATAATTTTTTTCAATTATTTTTCCGATTGTTCCTATGGGAGCTATATGCTATAGTCGTCCGATCCGGCTCGTTCCGACTTATATACTACCTGCAATAGAAAGACAACTTTTGGGAAAGTTTCATGCAGATAGCTTTAAAACTGAGAGACTAGTTTGCATATAAACGGACGGACAGACGGACAGACGGACAGACGGACAGACGGACAGACGGACAGACGGACGGACAGACGGACATGGCTAAATCGACTCTACTAGTGATGCTGATCAAGAATATATATACTTTATAGGGTCGGAAACGTCTCCTTCACTGCGTTGCAAACTTCTGACTGAAATTATAATACCCTCTGCAAGGGTATAAAAATTATAACTTTTCTGTTTTTTAATTTTTTGTTCAGTTCTTCGACATATAGCAATGGTTAAATATTTCAGAATTATGGCTTAGATTTTATCAAAATCGGACGTCTATATCATATAGCTCCCATAGAAATAATAAAAATATATAAAATAACTATAAAATAATTGAGCTGCTAATCATCATAGCTTCAATGTTTTTAAACATATACGCAGTAAATCATAATTTTAATGTTTTCAAAAATGTTAAATTCTTGCAATAGCTTCAAGGGTATATGAACTTCGGCTTGCCAAAGTTTGCTTTCTTTCTTGTTTTTAATTTACATTAAAATACATTAATAATCATAAGCTTAAATACAATGCACATTAAATTTGCATGATTTATTAAACCTGACCGAAAACAATCAAATGAAAAAAGCTGTAAGGGTATATAAACTTAAACTCGTCAAAGTGTTATTTTTATACCCTTGCAGAGGGTATTATAATTTCAGTCAGAAGTTTGCAACGCAGTGAAGGAGACATCTCCGACCCTATAAAGTATATATATTCATGATCAGTATCACTAGGGGAGTCGATCTAGTCCGTCTTTCCGTCTGTCCGTCTGTCTGTCCGTCCGTCTGTCCGTCCGTTTCTACTCAAACTAGTCTCTCAGTTTTAAAGCTATCTGCATGAAACTTTCCCAAAAGTTGTCTTTCTATTGCAGGTAGTATATAAGTCGGAACGAGCCGGATCGGACGACTATAGCATATAGCTCCCATAGGAACAATCGGAAAAAAATACCAAAAAAATTTTAACTTTGCTGTTTTTAAATTTTTCTATTAGTTCTTCGACCTATACATAGTAGTTTAAATTTCATAAAAATCGGACGACCATATCATATAGCTCCCATAAAAATAATAAAAATATATAAAATAACTATCTAATAATTGAGCTGCAAATCATCATTGCTTCAATGCTTTTGGACGTATAGGCAAGTAAATCATAATTTTAATGTTTTCAAAAATATTTAATTCTTGCAAGAGCTGCAAGGGTATATGAACTTCGGCTTGCTGAAGTTTGCTTCCTGTCTTGTTATTAAGTTGACTTGAAAAGTATAGTTGAGAAAAGTTTTTATTGCAAACATTTCCCTTTGAGTGCTTATAAGCGTGTTTATAGCGGAATTCTACTGTGTCTACGAATCCCAGGGTCCCCGATTCAAATCAAGGTTGGGTGGACTAGGTTGGGTGAACTTAGGTTGTTTCTCTTTCCTTTTCTTTACTTATGTGTATGTAGTTTATTGAATTTCCTTTCAGTCTTATTAAAGGCAGTTTTGAGGTTGTCGGAACGTCAAATAAGAAATCAAATGCGATTTTCTGTATTTTGTTTTTAACAGTTTTTCTTTTAAATGTACTATTTAAATTATGGTTGCCAAAGAGTTTTGCTATTTGGGGGGTTTCTTATTTAAAGCTGAAAATAAACTTTTACTGCCAAGACGTTTAATGTTAAGATCAACTTCTTAAAATTCCACTGTAGCGTTTGCTTGGGCTAATGTGCCATAATATCAGCTAATTGCTTCTGTGTCTTAAATCTATCTGCTCACCGACCTAAGACATGACATACGTGGCATCTGATTTTTATAAAGTCGTACTGGCGGAAGTATCGTTTGTCCCTCGGACGACGCAAGTCATGTTGCATACTTTGCGGCGCATTTTTGCCATCGTTGGCATTTTAATGGAAATTGAGAACTATGAAATGGTCGCAGAAAGTCACGCAGTCATCCTGCTCATCCTTCCCGCGGCCTCCAGCCCCAACACCCAACCCCCATCCCCCGTCTCAACTGCATCTATATCCTCAATCTGCATTTGTGCAGCGCTTAGTGGGGATATCTCGGCACACACTACAGTTTACATATGTTAGCTGACGTCGGTGGTGCGTCTGTGTCAGTATGATATGAGTATGCAAGTAATTCCGCGTGTGGCATGAGCACATCATTAACATTTAAGCACGTGAGCTGGAGCGTGCTTAGTCATATACAGCTGCCTCACGCATACTGCAAATGGACACATATCCATATGCCGTATGCCACATGTCATAGAGCGGGCTGATGCATCGTCAGAATCATCAGCGCGGAGGGGGCAAATCCCTCATGCGCAAATTAAGTGCAGAATTGTGTTGCAATGGGATTAGGATGAAAATATCCCGTAAAATTTGTGTGCATTTTCAACCGGCTCTCGTCGATTTGCAGCTCAGTGCGATTTGGGCTTTGAGGCGAAAATAAATGATTTATTGACTTGTTTCCAATTTAATTTTTAGGTAAACGCTGCCGACCAAGTGACGTTCAGCGTTCAGCGTAAAGGACCCAAAGAATGTCGGGCACACAGATTGGTTTTAATTGGAATCCGGAGGGCAATGCAGCACAATCAAAAATGCATGTAAATATTGCAGATGCGCCTCACTGCAGTTGCCATCACGGACCTGCGAATCATCATGGCCGTTATAATCGTTATCGTCCTTATCGTCGTTATCACCATCAGCGGCAACAGAGGCAGCAGAGGCAACAGAGGCAAAAGAGGCAACAGCTCGCAGTCATTACCATCGGTGGGCCGAGGGAGCGGAACTCCGGCAGCTGACGCAAGACGCCGCTGGCTGTGAATTTGTTTATGCGCGGAATTAATATGAAATTGTGCCGGAACCTTTCAAACAGCTGTCTTTGTGCCAGCAGAGTGGCAGTTGGGGCGCCACAAAACCGAAAAATATGACAGCCTTTGCTTTCGTGGAGCCCTTCTTTCCAGCGCAGATTAGGGATAAACGGTTTCGGGTCCACCCAAACCCAATTGATTAGCATTGATTTGAAGTTAATGAGCACTCAATTTAGTCGCTGACGTCTGACCGTGGTCCTGGTCCTGGCCCTGGCCTATGCTCACGGCCCGCCTTCACCCACCTTCACCCACCTCCACCCACCTATCAATGGGATTCCGAACGCGTGCCACAAAGTATGCAACGCTTTGCAGCCCACTCCAGTACGCTTTGCGGCCGCAGAGCAAATTAATTAAAAATACTAAGGCGAGTGCCCAGTCTGACCAACCCACGCTCCTCGAAACAGCGGCTACAACAAAGCAGGAAATTCTATTTCAATTAGTGGCAAAATTGCAAAAAGCTGTGCAAACAAAAGATTTTCCCCAGCAACAGCAACAGCGATAGAAACAGCAAACAAAGGGCAACTAAAAATGGACGAGAAAACAAAGAGGCCCACCCCCTACACGGAAAATAAAAAGGTTGGAGATCAAAACAATATGATCTAACTTAAGCTGATAAATTAGGACATTGTTGATTCATGGGCCTACGATTTCTCACAGCAAATCCAGCCTTTGTCTACACTTCGCGTGCTCCTTAAATACTTAATTAAAAACTTTTAATTTATTCTAAGTGACAAATTATTGGACATCAAACCTGTCTTATAAATGCATCTGTAAGTCCACCAAATAACGAAAAGCAAAAGGTGCATTTTTTATTATTTTTCTCAGTGCGGATTCCTTAATTCAGGCAGCAAAGCCGCAATAAACGTAAGCCTGTACCTGTACACAACGGGTGTATGTGTGTGTGTTGTGTGTGAACTCACCTGGAACCGATGACTTTCTTTGACGGCTCAGTCTCCTCGACCCCTGTGGATGTGGCTGTGCTCAGGGGGAGTATTTGGACCCGGACCCTCCTCCCCTTGAGGAGGAGGTGAATCGTAGACGAAGGCCGGCTGCATGTTGGCGGACTTGGGCTGGCTCCGCTGGCTGGACGTCGTCGAGGTGGTCACATAGGTGACCAGCGGTTGCTGCGGCTGGCTGTTTGGATAGGCCGGAATGCCGGCGGTGGCCAAGGCCAGCCAGAGCAGCGGCCAGAGTGCCGGGGATGTGCGCGGTAGACGCATTGTGGGTTCGTGGAGTGCTGGGGCGGAGCGGGCGCTTTGGTGCTTTAGCCCCGGACTAATCTTAAAATTGTTTTCCTCTCCCTTTGCTGGCGGGAGGTCGGGACCTTTGGCTCACTGAGTCCGATTGGCGCTTAATGTCGAAGGACGCTGCATAAACATCAAGCGAGAGCTGCAAAACGAAATAAAAACTAATTAAAGCAGTGTTAATGAAGGCGAGCGAGCGAAAGGAAAGCCGGCGAGGAATTTGCATAAAGTGTGGGCCTCCTTAAAGCAACTCGCGCACTTTAAGCGGCGCTGCAGGCGGTGCATTGTGGCAACCGGCTGCTTTTAGGCCCTGTCATAATCAGGCGTCCTGGCAGCAGGCAAATTGCCAAGCACCTGAAACCTGGCACGCTAATGCGCCTGTAATTATGCTAATAATAACGAGCAGCCACATGAGGCGAGTGGGGGAAGTAATGCCATTGGAGTCGGCGTCTTTGCAGTAAAGCATGCTTTCAGAGCCTTGGCCTAAGTGCCAGGCAATTTGGTCATAAGCTGGGGATACGAACCCACCAGCACCCCTCCCAGCCAAAGAACGGCCGTGTGCATTACGGAATGCATATGCCACCTGATGGAAATTTCAGATTCGCAATAACTTAAAGCGGCATTCAAGTTGCCCTACGTGACTGAGGATTCGCCATCCGGGAAAACCGGGCGAAATCCGTTGCCAGGTATCGGGAAATGATTCTTATTTTTAGCCCAGACTCCCTCCCCGTAGCTCTCCTCTTTCGATGTTGTTGTCTGTCACTTGCTATCAGTATTAGAAATCTGTGCAAATACTTGGCAGCCATTTTGACAGTTTTCCTGTTTCGCGTTGTGCCACTAAGCCCTCTGTGCGTGTGTGTGATAGCACAAATGAATTGTCAATGGCGCGACATGAGGGAAACAGCATCCCGGCAATATGTTAATAAGCACAATGGCCAACACCAACAGCAACACCAACAGCAACACCAACAGCAACAGCAACAGCAACGCAGCGGCAAAGCCCAAGAATGCGCTGACAACTTAAAGCCGACGCTGTCAAAATGTTAGCTTACAGAAACGTATCCTGGCAAACATACTGAGCCCCCTGCCTCCCCCTTTGGCCCACGTCCCTGTGAACTTGTGAACCCGACCAGTTTGCCACATCACGTACGCACACCAACACAGGCCATGAAACAAGTCCATATACAGCAGATAGCTAAACGATTCGTGGTCAATGCGAAAAAAGTCGGCCATAAATACCGAGGCTGGCCATAAAAATATGCTTGCTGACTGGTTGCTGACGGCATTGCCACTTTTGGTCCTATTTTTGATTTCCTCCGTTCGCTTTATGGCCCCCGAACATCGAGGGGAATACAACCAAATTAACATAAATTGGGCGTAAAATATATCAGCATAATGTAGGTTTCACAGGGGCCGTCAGTCCACCGACATCGGCATCGTCACCGGCATCGGCATCGGCGACAAAGGACTCGTCACGGCCATAAGTTGGCAATTGATTTGTAACGGTAAATTACGATTGTCAGCGGTCCTTCGGCGAACTTCGAAGAACTTTTGCAAGTGTAGACGGGGGGTGGAGTGGTGCCGAACCGGTTGACATTGAAATGTAAATGAATGCCGGCCCCGAAGAGTGGCTTACCCTTTGGGAGGAGCGCCCGAGGACTTAACGGAGGTGAGGTGCCAGGACAGATTGGTCGGACTGCCATTGTCTGGGTCGACAATGACGCCGAGTGACATGACAAGTGGCCGACAAACACTCACCCGCCCCGCAAACAGAAAGTCACAAAGGGAGCGCCCCACACAAGCACTGAAAGCTGAAGAAGTGCTCCGTGCGCCTGTTCAGGGTCCAATCCAGATCCAGATCCAGATTCAGTTACAGGTTCGGCCAAGATGGAAGCTGACAGCTGTAGAGACAAGCAAACGAATCGAGATGAGAAGAAATGAGACCGCACACGAGCTGGACGTTTGTTTAAACAAATCACTCCGACATTTCCATATATTGGGGGCAAAAGAACAAGGGTGATAGGGCCGAAAAAGCGTAACACATGCAAATTGTGTGTGTGTGTGTGTGTGTGTGTGTGGGGAGGAGACTGGCCATAAATAAAACGACAAAAGGTGTATTTAGCCAAAATGACATTCTGAGGCATGTGGCTGGCAGACTTGGCTCAGGACATATTCCCATCCTCAGACCAGGACGGAGGTGTGGCTCTCTAAGGACACTTCCGCCAGCAGCTAGATGGCAATACTCTATATTTTTAGTCGAAAGAGTGTCAGATGCCAGACTTCATTAGCATGGGAGAACAGAAAAATTAGCATAAGCTACTGAGTTCTTGAAACCGTGCTCCGCAGTTGTTTGACTTTAATTGAAACTCAGTCCAAAATTAGTAATATTTTGTACTATATTCGGCTTTATTGGTGGACATCGTCCGGATCAATAATTCCTAGGAGTTGGGCTTAAATGTTAAGGGCGGCTGGGGAAGAGGGGAACTAAAGTCAATTGAGTTAGCCAAGATGCTTGTGACGAATATAGTTGAAATTGGTTTTAAGGCTTCAGAGCCAGCACCAAATAAAGTAGACAAGCGGTCAGCAAATGAGCCACTCACACGAGCACAAGATCTGGGTGTGTAAAAAGTTGAGAAGAGTTTGCAACGTCCACAGCGTCCATCGAATGTGTCACGTCTCCTGGGTTTGTGGAAAATTAAGATTTTCCACCATGGCGAAACTTGTTTTGGTTTGTTTTTTGCTTGTTAGCCATTGATTTCTTATTGGATTTACTGCCCGCCCCTCCGCACACAGCAGGGCTTTGGTGCAATCAGTTACCGCTTGCGGCTAGGAAATTAAAGCAAATCGCATTACGGCGCTTAGTCAAGGTCGCAGTACACTCGAGCTTGCATAGGTCGCACCCTTCAGTGTATCAGCCAGCTGTTGAGCCTGATTTCAGTTTCTGTTTCTGTTTCTGTTTCATTTGTTTTTTGCTCTCCAGGAAGCGCAGCCAAGTGTTGACCCACGTTTAAACACTCTGCTTCCGACTGACAGAGCTGGGCTTTCTCTTTGGCAAGCCTTCAGCCCTCGCCGGTAGCTCCAGAGCCATCCAGCGCCATCCAGAGCCATCCGGAGCCATCCAGAGCCATCCAGAGCTCGCACTTTCGCACTCTGGCGCTCCCAAGGGGCCCGGTGGAGTGGTTACTGGTGCGCTACACTAACAGAACTTTATCGCTCTGTTTCCGCTTCCGTTACGTTACGTATACGCTCCCCGAGCGTGGCCTCCCGACGCTCATAAGATGTAATTTCAGCGCTGACCCTGCCGTTCGTCCAGCTTGAAAACTTTCCTTCTCGAGCGCAGAACATTTGATTTTATTTATTTTTTTCGATTTGCGCTTTTCTTTCGAAGTGCGCACACAAAACACCCGCACATGTTGGCCTGTTGTTCTGGCGTCCTGGTCGACGAAGCGATTTCATTCCTTCCGGCCCACAGTGGGCAAAGGACATGGTTGGCGGCGTTCAAGTAGCATTTTAAGAAGACCAGAACAGTATTTTCTTATGCCCAATTATGTTTGTTCACCTTTGTGCATGTTGTTTTAAATTTGTACAATGCTATTGGCGGTATTATAGATTATTAACAAGCCAAGTTCTGACACCCTACCCAGGAATACTTATAAAACAATGAAATTTATTAAGTCGTAAGATATTTTTGCGAAACTTTACAGTGATTTCTATAAGATCAGTTCACTGACCGATGGGGTTTTGAAGTAATAAAAACAGTAAACAAAAAAAAATTGACACACCTCTGTTTTACTTTATAAATTAACTTATCAATACTTAAGTGAATGTTACTGTATTGTGTAGTAAAATCAATTAAATATTCGTATTTATTTAAATGTATAATTCGCCATTTATTAGGGTTTTGGATAGCAGAAAAAACTCGATAGTTCTCTCTACTTTTTTTTCTTATTGAAAAGCAGTAATAACAGAATTTTTTTTATTTGTCAAAGAATAACTTTTGTTTATTTCACAGCTTACTGTTTTTAAGTCGTATTCATTTGATCATTATTTAAAATAAAATTTTTTTTTTTGTAAAACAAAATTTAAATTGGGCTTGGTATGATTTTTATGATAGGGAAAAAATAAGCTTTTTCTTAATAAGACTTAAAACATTGAAAAACGTGAAAATGCCAATTTAGACAGTTGTGTTAATGTACTCCTTTTTCATGGTACTTTTTGATAAATTCTTTATGAAACAGAATGATGGGTGATGTTAAAAGTCAGAACGATAGGTAGACGGATATTTTTTTTAGATGTATAAGCATTATTGAATAATTTATTTAATTAATTCCACTGAAATAGATGCTTAGCTGAACATATTGGCCCACTGTGCAGCCATTTGCCCTGCCTTTTCCGCTAGTACTACTACTGTTACTGCTACTGCTACTGCTCCTGCTACTGCTACTGGCAGTTGTGCGCCTCTGGCCGGCTAATGTGCATTTTATTTTCCGATCCCACTGCCGACGGAGCTGAGTCGATTCATTGGCCATTTACTGGCTGGCAGTGCCCCTTCCGCACGGGTTCTACACGGGCATGTGCATGACATATATTGTTTTGGAAAAGATTTCGCACGCCGCAGGAGCTCGATATAATTTTCAGCATTCCATTCCCATCACGTGCATATCTCGCTATGCCAATCTTCATTTGGCTATGAAACTTTTCGGCTCCGTTCTCCTTATCTGGCTGTCTATTCTTTGTCCCGGCTGTTATTGTTTGGAGCGGATCGAATTCTGAGAGGACGTAGGTGGATTGTGTGTTTATGCCTGGCACAACCCTCACAAAGGCTAAGGTGGCATTGGTGGCATCGGTGGCATCGGTGTCTGCCTGCCGCCGACACCGCACTTCACCATAAATAAATCCCCGCGCCGGGACAAGAAGCTCGTTTCGGCTTTATAGTTTTTCAAGTTTGTGCGGCTCAACGGCAACCGCTTTGCCTCGCATTATTCCACTTCGCACGTGTCGCCCATCGAGGCTTCGGATCTTCCTGCCATTGTCATCGCCGGAGCTCCAGCAGTCTATTGAATGGCTCTGTCCCGATTCGATCCCAGTCCATACACGTTTCACTTGCTGCTGCTGCCGGGTGTCCGCTTGTCCGGGTGTCCGCTT